ATTTTGAGAGCGTGAAGGAGGACAAAGGTTACGATCATCCGCTTTGATCATGCCACTACAGTAGGCATTTGATTCAAGCTTTTTTTTTTTTTTTTTTTTTTTATCACGATCCCGTCAGTGTTAGCGGTGCCGATAAGATAAGGAGCAGGCACCGCTTTTGATTCAAGCGTTGGACAATGATTCGTCGAAGACTTTGTGGCAGTTTGGTTCGCTCTGGTTCATATGCAATTTTACCTGCCGAGGAGGGTACAAATGGCAAATTTCCGTCCAACGTTTGAGGGCAGTTAAGTTGAACCCGTACCTGTAGGGCCCGGGGGCATCCTGAAAAGATATGACGTCCAAGTGAAGAAGTTGAGGGTATTTCACAAATTTGATCCCCCCTCAGCCTCAGAACGGCATGCCGTTTGTAAATAAACGAATGTCTTTGAGGTGTGTGTAACGGAAAGTTTTCCCAATTAATGAACAAATAAATGAGCGAATTTTTTTTTTAGGTCATAAAATCTGTCCATCGACGATCACAGCTGAGTTCTTTTTGTCTTTCCTCCCCTACTCGTGGAACTAATTACTAATTTTTTGTTTCAATCACTTTTTCCCTCGTCTCTTCCACTCTTTCAAAAATTGGCGGCTACTTGTAGGTATGCCTGAGAGCAGAGTGATTTACAGGACTTCAATGATAATGACGATGACAACCCAAAATCAAAATCAACGGTAAACGATAGGGAGTCGATCAGCTGACCTGGCACCCGCAGTCGATCATATGTGTGATCGCCACGTCACAGCTCTTTGTGCTGATTGGACCAGCTGAGCTGGCACACAGTCACAGCTGTTTGTGCTGATTGGACCAGCTGAGCAGGCACACAGTCACAGCTGTTTGTGCTGATTGGAACAGCTGGCACGCAGTCACAGCTGGCACTCAGTCAGGAGCGGTGTCCGAGCAGCGTTGGGAGCAGCTCCCACGTCACAGCTGTTTGTGCTGATTGGACCAGCTGAGCTGGCACTCAGTGGACCAGCTGATTGGGCTGATTGGACCTGCTGAGCTGGCACTCAGTCAGGAGCAGTGTCCGAGCAGCGTTGGGAGCAGAGCCGGGAGCAGCGAGTGACTGGGGAGAAAAGAGCGATGGCTTCCGGAGTGGCGGCTATGGCTCGCCTTAGTCAGGTGGTTTACCTCTTCGGGCCCATCCATGGAGGAGGAGGAGGATGTGTAGGGATGCGGGGTGCTTTGCGGTCGGCCAAATCGTTACACGTCAGCAATCTATTCACGCTGCCACGTGTCACGGGAGGGTCAGATTTGCAATTGGACTGGTTGGATTCCTGTTCTGGAAAAGTCGAGGTATCAGCGTCCGTCTTCTCTTCCTCCTCCTCCTCCTCCTCCTCCTCCTTCTCCTCCTCTCCCTCCTCCTCACTCTCATCACCATCGGCATCGTCATCATGTTCATGGTCGTCTTGGTCATGTTGTTCTTCCTCGCCACGTGTCAAAGGAAGGCGACGCTACTCCTGTGCTGCTGTCAGCGAAGAGAGGGAGAGAGATGGAGGTGAGGGAGGCATGAGTGCGCCAGTGGAGGGAGAAGGGCGTACGAGGAGGAGCAGCAGGAAGAGGAGAGAGGGGAGGGAGGAAGCACCCACAGTGCTGGAGAGAACGCTGACGGAAGGGGATAAAGAGGAGGAGGAGGAGGAGGAGAGGGGCCGGGAGAGGGGGGTTAATCAGAGATCCGAAGCCAATGGCAGATCGAGGTTGATACGTGGCAGATCGAGGCCGCCACGTGGCAGTTCCCCCTCCACCTCTACGTCTGCCACGTCATCATCCGTGTCATCGCAATCAACAGGAGAAGCAGAAGCAGCAGCAACAGCAACAGCAGCAGCAGCAGCAGCAGTAGGAGGAGAAGGAGAACGAGAAAGAGGAGGAGGTGATGGTGGCAAACAGGGATTATGGTTGATTGTAGGGTTAGGAAACCCAGGGAGAAAATATGCTGGGACCCGTCATAACGCTGGCTTTGAGGTTATTGATAGGTTGGCTATGGCGGAAGGAATCAGGATGGGTTCCATCGAGTCCAAAGCTGTCGTTGGGCGCGGATTGATCTGCAACATCCCGGTTCTATTAGCCAAACCACAAACCTTCATGAACCGCAGCGGTCAGGCCGTCGGTCCTCTTGCCGCCTATTACCGAATTCCAAATCAACGTGTGCTTGTGATCTGTGACGATCTGGACTTGTCCTTGGCGAGCCTGCGCATCCGGCGAAAAGGCAGCGCCGCTGGGCACAACGGGATGACGAGTGTAATTGAGGGGCTGAAGGGGAGCAAGGATTTCCCAAGATTGCGGATCGGGATCGGGAGACCTAGAGGAGGGATCCCGGTAGAAGCATATGTGCTGCAGAAATTCACGCAGGAGGAAAGAGAAGAGATGGATTGTACTCTCCATGAGGCGACCAATGCCGTGAGAGCTGTGCTGGTAGAGGGAATAGACAAAGCCATGAGTTTATGGAATGTTGCGAGAAGCTTCAGGCTTGTGGGAGAGTAATTAATCACCACGCAGTTAGGGGGGAAGCGGAGGAG